GACAAAATATGTATTCTGGCATGGCTTTCTTAATTTCATTATTCTGAAAGTTCATTCAAATTAGTTTATAATAATAATGATGTTCTTTCCTGTGCAAATCCAATTATGTTTATATGACTGTTGCTAAGTTGTATATATTCAGAAGTTGGGCATGAAATTTCCAACCACTGTTATTATGACAATTAAGGACAATTGATTGTCTGACAGTATAATTTGTAGATAAGTAGTAGTGCAGTCTAGCAGGAACCCTGCATTAACTCCTTCGGCACCAAAACAATGCCACTGTCTCTTCCACCCCTGGATACCTCCCGTTCATTTATCAGCCACTTCCTCATCTTTCCCCCCCACGCCAAACTACAGACACAATTTAATACTTTTATTAGAAACAATAAGGCTTGAAACAGAGAGATTTTGCTAAACTCTTTTAGTGCACTGGAGGAAGGAGTGGACTATTCTGACTGCACTTTAAATTCAGGCCAGTGGTGACAGTCTTTAGAGAGCTGATCAATTCCGATAAAAAAAAAGAGATGCAGTGCTATTAATAGTTGACACTATGTCCCATTTTAAAACAAGCCAAGGACTTATTTAAGAGTATGAGTTCTTTCTACTTTTATGAATAAATGCCACTTAAAGTAGTTAAAGTGTGTGTGTGCATGTGTGTGTACTTTGTAAAGAAAATTTTATTACTTATATAGTTTGTGTTGAGTACTATAATTGAATGATTTTTTTAGAGTATAATAAAAATACCAATAACATTTCTAAAATTATTTTCTAGGTTTCTTGCTAAAATCCTTTCCCTTTAATTGCATAACTTGTGTTTTGTATGAAACTGAATGACTTCTTAAATGTAGTTGAAGAACTTTGAAGAAGTTACTGCATAAGCACTAAACAAAGCTCATGGTAATCAAAGCAACAGGCTCTTCAAGGCACTGATGATGGTCACTTGGCTGGCACATCTGAATTTTCTTCATTCAAATGAAAGTATCTACTGCAAATATCTTATTTTTCTGTTGTTCCAGGAGAAGCAAAACATACCCAAATCTATTTAATAATATTTAATAATTTTTCTATAAAACTCAGGTCTTTACTATAAATATCCAATTGACCAGCCCAGAGTAAACAGAGACTTATACCCAAAACCAAACCAAGCAAACAAACAAAAAATAAGACAAGATAAAATATGCTAAAGTATATGGAAACTTTTGAGAGTTGAGGTATTTATTATAGGAACATACTAGATGATTGTCTTTTCTTTTATGGAAAGCTTTGCATATTTCTGGTTCATTTTATTCAAATGTTTTCATTAGGATCACTATGTATCTAAAGGACAGACTATTATGCATTTTCCTTTTCCAATCTAACAATATCATTTTATGTTATTTTTATCTCCCAGATTTTTGTTTGTTTGTTTGTTTGTTTTCCATTGGGTCTCACTTTATAACCCTGGCAAATCTTTAACTGATTTTGTTGACAAAGTTGACCTGAAACTCAAAAAAGATCCATCCCCCAGCCTCTTCAGTACTGGAAGTATCTTTTTATTCCTTTTTAAAACTAACTTTATTCTTTTACTTTCTTGTAACCCCATCCCTTCCAATGTCTTCTGTACCTTTCATTTATGGTCACTATTATGCATGGAACCTTCTGCTTAGGTCATCATCTCTTCTTCACTTGTGGCTAGATGGGCAGGAAGCATGGTTTTCTACTCCTCATCTTGTTAAGATCATAGCAGAACAGTAGCCATGACTGTAATCCAAATGTTGAATACACACAGTGTTCCTGTGACAGAAATGAGAGCCTCTGGATACTAACTTTATTAGCTTACCAAAGTGTGAATTTCTAGGCCAATTTTATTTAACGTAGCATTTGGATACATCATTGTATTTGTATTTTATGAAGGATTCTCTGTATTATTGCCAAAGTTTGTTTTTGATATTCTACTGCCTACAGCTTGTGTGCCAATAATATGATTAATGAGTATACAAAAAAAATCTGATGGTTATTTAAAATGTAGGTCATTATAGAATATAATTTACATGACTTCATAAGATGAAACTTTGAAATTCAATACTTTTCTTTGAAAATTTGAAATCTATCTTCTGAGTAATTAATGTAGCTCTGAACATTCCTATGTTGTTGGATGAAAATACTAAGCATCCACAAAGTCCAAAAATTATAGAACACAACGTTGGTCTCTGACACAACAAAGACTCAAGTTTCATGATAAAATATGCTTTGATAAAAAAATGTAAAGACATCCACACACCTTTTATTTATTTGTTTTCTGTTATAGATTTAATATGTGCATTTGTGTATTATAATTTGTAAGTATATATAATTATGCATATAAATGTATATGCAATTATGCATGTATTAATATATGAATGTCTCAAAAATACATCATCTCTCTATCATCTTATGTACAGTTTTGCTTTCCATGGGTTTAATTTCTCCTACTCAAGTAATGTTCAAATGTATTGTTTAGAAAATTCAACACTCATTTTTAAATTTACCCTCTTCTGAGTACCATTATGAATTCTTATACAGCTGTGTTCTATCTTGCTTGGGAGGAGGATCAATATTTGTCTAGTTTATTCATTTTGTATATATGACCTTGCAGTTAGTTTCTTATTAGCTAAGTTAGTTATTAGATTCTATTCCAAGGTACCATAAGGCTTTTTTTCTCAAAGATAGTTTGTTTTACCCACTAGTGACATAGTGTATAGTAACAGTGACAATGTGAAGTCAAATATGCCACATAAGAGCCTAAAGAGGCTTCCTTTATCTGAACAGATAAAAATTAGCAGCCAGATTGGGAAAAAGGGATGCTACAATTTCTAATAACTATGTTGAAAAGATCATTTTCTACCTTGATTAATTTATAAACCAAACATTTGTCACAGCATGTATATATATGAATGAATGAAAATAGCATATATGGGATTCTGTGCTATTCACAGTTTGGAGAATTTCCCTGAGGATCTTGAAATATGCCCCATTTTGATAAGAGGGATCTAAGTATGGCTAGTAATTTCTTCTGTCATTAAAACAAACTATACCATTTACTTCTGGACCTCATGCCTTATGAGAAATGGGATGTAATTCTTATTCTTTTCCTTTTCTGTTTCAATGTTATTTTTTTCTCACTCCTTTCGAATTTTTTTTTAAAAAATACCTCACAGGAGGAAATAATCAATAATGTTTTTTTATTTCTTCTGAATAATTCTATATAAAGATATAAAAAATATGAATGAAGCCAATGTGTCTCCCTTTGGAATGTTTTCTCTAGTGGAGGGTAAATGTACCTGCATATCCTATGGATTCTGACTAGGCTTCAGTAAGTCAGGTTAACAAGAGGAATGCAGAAGTCCATGAACCTAAAACTATTCAGATGTGAGTAACAGGAGGGAGTAAAAAAAAAAAATCAAAGGTAAATGATTTTGAGTTTCTAGGGGTAGCACATTGTAGGAAGACAAGTAAATGCTTAGGAGATGTCATGGGGCAATGGTCTACTTTGTATACTCTGCCTACTACTGTATGCTGTACCTGTGAATGTAAAAGAAACTTTACTGTCATTATTTACATTTGGGAATGATATTTTTCTACAACTATTTTATCATAGACAGGAGTCTACTAATCAAAGTACAGATGCATTTTAAAGTAGACGGGTAGGCTTTGAAAAACAGGACAATACTGGGTGTTATAATTGTTCTTCTATTGTTAACGTAGCCTTGACAGATCAATATAGAAAGATGTTGACACGATTTTGGGAAGAGTTAAGAAAATACCTCATTTTCAGTTTCTTTTGTGTATCTAGGTTCTGAATCACTTGCTTTTGAAATGGCATTGCCAGAAAGAAATGTGTAGTTACATATGTTTGTATTGTTCAAGAACCATCAACAGAGCTGCAAGAACATACTTTGTGCAAAACAGGCTCTTAAACACTATTTAACTCCTCTGTTCCTGGGTACCCAATAGCCACCCACAACCCACTCAACAGGATGAAGTATATTTCAAGTGACTGGAAACAATTTTATTTGTTTATTCTTGATTTAAAAAATAAGTGTTATTTTCTACATTGTGTTTGGCTGATATATGGTCTGAGGAATTTTGGAAGGCGAAAAGAGGATGTATATGATCTCAAATACTACAGTAAGATTCAATTATTGTTGAAGCAAAATGGAGATAAAAACTGTTCAAAGAGTTTAAGGCAGAGACTTGCTAAATTCTTGTCCTTGACCAGAAGGCATATCAGGGGGTTAGAAATTACAGCGGTGTTTGTAGCTCTAGTTTCTGGTCTTGTAATATTTTTATCTCCTTTATACAGCTTCCTGGAATCTATATATTAGAATATGCCTGAAACTCCAGTCCAGAAACAACAATTCCTTTTGATGAACAGATTTGGGAAGAAAAATCAGCATTTTTGTGGTAGAAATTTGTTAGGTCTACTATAATTTTAATAGTGATGGTATTGATATTTGGATCTTGCATATTCAACTACTATTTTAATTGAATCTCTTCTCATTTACTGTAAATCTACACTCACATGATTTTGTGATATTCTAACTCTGTTTATCTGGGATCTCCATTACTGCCTTTGAAAGACTGAAATTTATCAAAAGTAGAGAACCTAAACCCCTCTATCCTCAATTTAAACCCATATCCTAAATGGCTTAAAAATTCAGCACCTCAGGAAGGAGTATTATGGAGATTGGTAGGCTTGGAGGCCATTGAAAGTAGATACTTGTGTTGGTAATTGGTTCTAATGCTTTGTTTTAACTCAGCTCCCAAAAAACCTGCTTCCAGATGTGAGAGTCCCTGCCCACAGCTGGTTTCCACTGGTAATAAAGAATTGCCTTATAGTCAATGTCTGGTCAGGCAAACAGAAGTGTGACATTTAGATTGTGCAGGCAAGGGACCAAGGGAGGAGAGAAGAACAGGCAGAATCACCATGACAGGGAAGAAAAGACTTCCCTGTTAGACTTAAAGGACTATTGCCATGTAAGATTCTGGGAGAGCTTTTGTATGGTGAAAGCTGACAAAGGACAGTGCAGCTTTTTATTGGACAGCCTTTAGACTAAAGAAAATTTTCAAGGGAACATTTCTTAGGGTTAGAATTTGCAGTAACAGATGTGAAACCCTAGCAGTAGTGTGATGTCCTTGTATGATACTGCAATCAGAACCACTGAAAAAAATGATAATAAAAATAAACATATTAAAAGGTAAAGATAACACAGCCTCATTGGAAACCATTAAGAGAAAGTTACTTCAATGTCATACTTCTACACAATGGAATACTACTCAGCCATTGAAAACATAGACATTAGGAATTTCTCAGGAAAACAGATAGAACTTGAAAATACCATCCTGAGTGAGGTAACACAGACCCAAAATGACATGCGTTGTATGAACTCACTTATAAGTTGATATTATCCATAAAATACAGGATAACCATGCTATAATCAATAAACCCCAAAGAAGCCATATAATAAGAAGGGCACAAAGGTGGATGTTTGAATCTTTCTCAGAAGGGGAAACAAAATAGATATCAGAGATCAATGGAAGGAGGGAGCTGTGTGGAAGCGGGAATGGGAAGGGGAGTAAGGTGGGATGGGGAAGATTATATGTAGGGAAGCAGGAGAGAGACCTCAGAATGTCTAAGGGGGCGACTCTAGTTGAGATTCCTATCAGCGGGGGATATGAATCCTCAAGTGGCCACTTCTTATAGTTGGGAAGGACTCCCAGTGGAAAGATAAGGACAGCAACCCACCTAGAAAGCCTTTGACCCAAAATGTGCCCTGCCTCCAAGAAGTGCAGAAACAAAGATAGAGCAGAGACTGAGGGAATGGCCAATCAATGACTGCTCCAAATTGAGACCCATCCCATGGGCAAGAGCCAATCCCTGACACTATTAATGATACTCTGCTATACTTTCAGATAGATATCTAGCATAACTATCCTCTGAGAGGCTCCACCAAGCAGCCAATGAAAAGAGATACAGATACCAAAACATTAGATGGAGCTCAAAGAGTTTAATAGAATGGTTGGGAGAAAGATTGAGGGATTCAAAGAGGACAGCGACTCCACAGGAAGACCAACAGTGTCATTTAACCTGGACCCTTTGGAGCTCCTAGAGACTGAATCACCAACTTAAGAGTGAGCTCAACCTGGACCTAGGCCCCCTGCAAATATGCAGCTCAATCTTCATGTGAGTCCCTCAAACAACTGGAGCAGGGTCTGTTCCTGAGCCTGTTGCCTGTGTGTCTGCCTGTGGATTCCTTACCACTAAATGGACAGCCATGTTCAGTGGATGAGGATGTCCTTAGTCCTTCATTGACTTGATGTGTGGGATGATGGTGGTAGTATGTGAGAGGTGGAAATTTGACACCCAGAAGGGAGTTTCCCCTTCTCAAAAGGGGAAGGGGGAATGGGGGAGGATTTGTGCGAGAGGGTACTAGGAGGAGGGGAAGGGCTGAAGTTGAGTTGTAAAGGGAAAGAGAAATAAATTTAGTGAGAGATAGAGGGGGGAGGGAGATGAAAGGAAGGAGGGAGAGACAGACTGATAGATAGATAGATAGATAGATAGATAGATAGATAGATAGATAGATAGATAGATAAAGTGTGTGTGTGTATTACTTCTTCCTTGTCAATAAAATAAGAATGAATATTCTTTGGATCTTAGGGGACAAGATATCCTGATCTGATATTGAGACATTATATACTACTTTGTCTTCCCTTAAGAGTTATTCCAATCTATTATTTATATTCCCTTGCAGGGCTTAGCCTCACAGCCTAAGCAAGAATTCAGATTGCCTGTATGAGTATAGCAAAATATCATTAGGCATTGGAAATGATTGGCATCTAGCCCAATTGACATCAGAGAGAGTTCATCCAGCAACTGAAGGAAATAGATGCAGAGACCCACAGCTAAACATTAGGTAGAGCTTGGGGATCCTTTGGCAGAGAAAGAAGGATTGATGGAGCCAGAGGGGTCAAGGATACAACAAGAAAACCTAAGGAATTGACTAACCTAGGTCCATTGGTTGAACTGCCAACCAGAGAGCCTGCCTGGGATGGGCTGGCCTATGTAATCCACTCATATCTATCTGTTGTCAAACTTAGTTTTCATGTGGTACTCCTAACGTCAGGAGCATGAACTGTCTCTGACTCTGTTGCCTGCCACTGGGATCCTTTCTCCCTACTGGGTTATTTTGTCTAGCATTAAAGAAGAGGTGCCCAGTATTACTGAAACTTGACATGCCCTGGCTTATCAATGGTTGATATCAATTGAGGCTATCCCTTTTCTGAAAAGAAACAGAGAGGAAGTAGATAGGGATTGGGTGGGTGGGTAACTGGGAGGAGAGGAGGAAGCATAAACTGCCTTGGAGTATAAAATACATAAAATTACACTACACTACACAGAGAGAGAGGAAGGAGAGGTAGAAGAATAGGGAGAGGGAGAGGGAGAAGGAGGGTGGGAAAGAGGGAGGAAGGAAGAGAGAGAGAGAGAGAGAGAGAGAGAGAGAGAGAGAGAGAGAGAGAATGATTTCCATTAATCACCTGGTGGCCAGGAGACCATCCCATGTGAAAGAAGATTTGTTAAAGACAAGGGAGAAATAATTATCCCCTTAATGAGATAAAGTATTTGAACTTCCATAAATTCCTTCCCCAGTGCAGCTACTTGCAATACTTTCACTGTCCAGTACTCCTAACCCTGATTACCTGTAGTTTCATTTATTTACTTTTATCTTGAATGTGACAATGAAAGAATAGACAAGTTCTTGTCAAAACTCATTAACCATGTATAGAATAGCCATGTTTTATTGTCTATAACTTAGCCTTCATTAAGGGTAATTTTGTGAAAAAAATTGCCTATATCCAAAGATAGCATCCAATAGCAAGGGGAGATGGTATATGGCAAATATTTAAAATTAACGCTCTATTAAGAACTAATACCTGTAGAGTTAAGGATTTAGTTTAAAAGACTAACGTTATTTAAAAATGTTTCTGAGTTTATGTGAATATAGGCATATACATACTGGACAATTATCTCATTGCTGATAACTCCAAATGTTGCAATTTGTTAGATATAAACATTAAAACCTATTTTTAATGTAATATTGTTTCAATCTCATATACTCTTGTTGAAATAATGTTGTATGAACTTACTTCCTGTTATTTCTCTAGGTCTCTTGATTTTCATCTTTCATCTGGGAACTTGCATTTGGTGCCTTAGTATGCTTCACTGACTTATTACATGAAAGTAGAATCTTGAAGAATAAGCTCAAACATATTTTGCTATACAATTTTTGGTATAATTTAATAGATTTTCATAAAACATGAATATACATTTTGATCTTTAAGTATTTTAATCTAGCCCAAACAGTACTAAATGAGAACATGTCCCAATCTAAATTCATTTGGTTGACTTAAATTTTTTGCCACCTTTCGCCTTTCAGTTGAGTGCTAATCCCTAATTTCATCTGGGGACACTGTGGAAGAGAGTGAAGAGAGGTGATAAGAGGGAGACATGAAATGATGTCTTCTTACTAACACATGGCTGTTGGAACTGTGAACACACCAAAGCTATAGGTTCTGCTCTGAATCTATGCAAGAACGAATGGTTGACACTCAGGCATGGATGGAGGAAGGGCTTGTGGTGCCTACCAAGCACTGCTGATCTGTTGAATATGTATAGATTCTGTAAGAGGTAGAGTCACTGTCTTCTGTTGTATGGTTCTTATGGAGGGTTCCAATCCAATGTTTTCACAGATGGGTCCCCAGATAAATCTAAAAGTCTTGAATCTGGAAAGGGGGGAGTAGCAGTGAGAAGCGGGGATGCTGATAGATATGGCAGCATGTAAGAAGAGGGTATGGAGGAAACAGAAACAGAATACATTACATATATCTGTAGAAAATTGTCCAAAACCAAAATTAACTTAAAAAGCCATCAACAATAAAACAAATAGTTTGCTGTGTTCAGAGTTTATTACAAATGTATCCTGTGTATCAGTATTTTAAAGCTCATGATTTCACAGGGATTTTATGCTCGGCATCTAAAGCTTTTATACTGTATCAGCATCACAAAGCACATATCATAAATCGAGTGAGACTTTAAACAGACCTTAAAACTCTCTATTTTAAACTATTCTATATTTCTCAGAATTCCTCCTGTGACCCTCCTTGGTCAATACACTTTCTTTCTTCTCACTTCACTGATGTACCACATTCTTACTTATTCCATCACAGATGAGTTTTTCCTATCCTGGGACCTTATATAAATAGAATCAAACTGTCCTATGTGTCTGTCCTCATTGGCTTACCAACACATTTTTGAGCTGTATGCACTCCAATAATCTGTCCCTTTGTATAGATGCATCCTAATGGTAATAGAACTATACCACATCCATTTACCATTTGACCTACTCACTGTTGTTTGAGTTGTTTCTAACTAGAGGTTTTTCTAAATAAATATTTATGTCATTTTATATCTACAGTTATTTCTTTGGAAGAGAATATTTACAAATGGCTTTCCTGGGTCTTAGAGTGTGACTAATTTTCCAACAATTGGTTAATTCTACTTCTGAAGAGAGTTTGCATTTTACTTTTGCCAGTAATTTTTGAGAGGTCTGGTAAAAGTAACTACTTTAAAGCTTTTAACTAGAAAGGGATTTTGTTATTCAGGATCTTTTAAGAACCATGGGTGTAAGTAAAGGAACCATTTGGTCACTGTCATCCTGGTTTGATAAGCTGTAAAAATTAAAATCAGGGTATGCTACTTTTAGCTGCAATGAGGTCATTTTCTAGAGCAAGAATGAAATGTTAAACATTTTAGTCAGATTTGAGAGCCTGGTAATTGTAAGGCAGGAACAGAAACACATGGCTAGAGGATTGCCCTTGGCTGATTTTACAACAGACACACAAACTTCAATATCAAATGTATTTTTAAATATATAAACACTGAGCTGGTTTAACCGGAAGTCCTGGAACTCCCTGTACTTTTCATCTTATGAGTCTGCATTGGCCTCCATTTCTCACCTACTTAATAGTGAAGAACGTTGTGTGCCCATAAATAAATGTCTGCTCTCAATTTTGTCCCATATCTTTAAGTGTCTCTGCCAGTGCTGAAATTTCTGTAGTCTCACATCTCTCAAAGGAAGATTTAGGGTCAGACAGAGCTCA